TTGTATTTATTTCTCCAAGTCCCAGAAGTTTAGAAGTAATTGGAATAATGAAATACATATGGAATAGGAAGCTCTGAATTCTAATTCTGACTCTACTGGGATTTGAGTTGTACAACCTTCCACAAACCACTTAAACTTCCCAAGACCCAGGTTATTAACTGTTACCATATTTTTGGGAACAGCATAAAGGTGATGAGTATATACTATTTCTCTTTATATCCCTGATATCCAATGTGGTAAAACACAAACACACACACACACACACACACACACACACACACACACACACACACACACAAACTCCACTAGGTTGAAAGTCCTTTGAAGGCAGGAAAATATCTTTCTGTTCGTTTTTGCACCTAGTGGCAAAACATGCAGACATACTATGCATTTAGTAATTTAGTATAGATATTATTTGTTGAGTGAATACATGGATACCAAGTTTGTTGCATGAATTAACAAAAGATGGGTACTACTTTCAGTCCTAACTACCACAAGGTTAAGAGGGTCATATGAAAACATGTAAGTTACCATATCTTTTAAGCTAAACATTAAGGTGTTCCTATCGTTATCATTCAAGTAGAACCTGCTAGTTCAATCAACTGTGCTTATAATTGCATTTATAAATATATCGATGGCATTTTGAATCATTCCACATGCTTTTGTCTGTTTAGACAGCAAATGATTAAAGGTTGTTTAGCTCTAAATAGCTTTATGTACTTTAAATCAGAAATGTATTTTCCCCATCTTGATATAGAATTAATTTTTTTTTAAAAATCCACTGTTAAAACCCAGACATGTGGATTATTATGTTGACCATCACAATATATTATCATTAGGTTGACTATCAAAATATTTTATTATTTTTAAGAAATAAGATTTTTTGAAGGCTTCATATTTTTTAACTTATGAGTTGTTAGATGTCACAAAAGAACCCTCAATTTGATATATGGGCATATTATCACAGGAAAGTGTATAGTCATATGGCATTATGACACTTGAACTCCAGGGGGAAATTTGGTAAAGTGTCTGGCCAATATGTTCTAGCCATCTTCCTGAAGCTGCCTAATGCTTGCTGTGTTTTGACCCCAATTCTCCCAAATCACATTTTTTCTCCCTCCCACTATGTTTCAAACTTCCACTGATGCATCATTAAAAGTTGGGACAGATCCTAGGAGATCATCAAGCCATTTCTTTGGATTTTACATTTAATTTGATCTCAACTTCTAAAAAGTGAATGGACAGCTGTTCTTACTTGACTGCCTTAATAACATACATTTAATTTTTATGATCATGTTGTTAGGACTTATAATAAATGCAATTCCTGTTATTGTAGTTTGAACCCATTTTGTTTACTGACCTGAGAGGAAAAAAAAAGAAAGCTTGTAATGATATCCTGAATTTTTTATGTATAGCTCTATTAATTATAAGTCTCTTTGTATTACACAAATTCAAATACAACATGAGCTGACATGTCTCCAAATGTAACATAAGAGAGAGAAATGGTTGTCCCAAGTGCCCACATAGCAGATAAGAAGGCTTCCTTAGCAAACTCTTGGAAGACTGTTAGATCACTTCTTAGAATAATGTGTACTCTCGAGGAGCACAGAGAATTCATTTGTGATTCTCCTGCTCTTGTCAGATACTCTGAAATCACACCTCGCCCTGACTGATGTTCAGTGAATCCCAGGATGCTGCTCTCCCAGAAGGTTCCTTCCTTAACACCTGGTTATTTCCTCTCTCTCAAAATCTGTTCTCATTGAACAACACTTTGTTGCTAAGTTATTGATACTAAAGCACGAGAATGGAAATTAAATTAGTCAACCCTATGGACGTTGTGAAAGCCTGTATATTTGAAATCTAGCAGCTGAGACATCAAAAAGTAACACTTTCACTTTTCATTCACATATCTAAGAGTTACAGATACTACTTAAGCCCAGTTGACAGGAGTTCTTCATTCAGAAGAAAAAGACCAGGGCTGGAGAATTTGAGTCTGATGAGATTTGCTAATCAGCTACGAATTTTCACTGCGACTATCATTACTCTAATTTTTGGTGACTCCACTGTTGTTGGAAATAAAATATTTCAGTCAATTAAGTCACAGTCATCATGCCTCCTTCTCACCCCTTTCCTCCCTATATTCTGCTTAGACCTTTTATAAAGCACTGGTTTTTGTGTCTTCTGTTTTTCTACAACAGGATTTTTTAAAAAATGAAAGCCAGATATCAAGAAAAATCTATGATTCTGACAAAGTTGTAGGAGCTTTTCAAGGTTTTAGAAAAAGGTGGTTAATAATACATTAAGCATTACATTGTTTGGACCAGATTTCCCATCTGGGCAAATCTTCTAATTTTCCAACTTGAAAATTCTATAAAACACATATGGGAATTCTTGCTTAGAAGTTGACATTTGGTTGAAGGTGACAAAAGCACATTTATCTATTTAGTAAATACAACTCACTTTATTTTAAAATAGTGCTATCTTTCAACAACTTTGGTTTTGCTTTTGTATATATAATTGAACAAATAAAATCTTTCATTAGTATTAACACTTATTACCATACATGAGGAAACAAATAAGTAATCTGAATAACTCAACCAATTAGTAACCAATTAATTTATACAGATTGTGAATAAGGAAACATGGAAAATAAGGTAACCCTAAAATACAGGTGGTTGCTATTACATCTAGTCCAAATCTGGACAGTCATATGGTGAGTGAAGTCAATACTGTTAGACTACATGTACTGGGAATGAGGTGGGGGGATTGCCATGGTGGAGAAAGCAAAGAATGCAAGATTTAAAGGTCACCACATATCTACAGAAGAAGAGATGCTGTAGTTGAGATTTGTTTTCCTTTCCCCCAAGGTTCTAGATCTTCGTTCTCATTCCTTGTTTAGACCACTGCTATACTTGAACCTGGTGTGTTTCAAATGTTCATTAGGAAACAGAACTGCTTAGGAGGTGTCTTTGTCTTACTGAGAATCTGCTAACATTTGAGTTTTGAAATAAATGCCTTGAATTGCTAAACATTATTCTAATGCACACTCATTGAAATTAGACACCTTGTACGTACTAACTATGTAACTACAGTTGAGGTCCCTTTATTTAGATTTTCTGTTTTCACATTGCTCTTTGCTTGGTTCTATTTCCTAATCTTTGACTTTTGCTCTACTTTCTTTTCTTACCGACTTTTCTCTCTCCCTTTAATTATCTTTTTTCTGTTGTTGTTAATTCTTCTCGTTGATACTTCTTTAGTTCTGTTTTGGACACTTTTTTCTGCTCACTACTTTTACTACTATCCCTAGAGCAAACCCAATTTCCCAAATAATAATATAAGTTAAGTGGAGCATGGAGCTCACTCAGCAGCAGTGTTGGAATGTTTACAGCCTCAATCAACCATTCTATTCACTCAAGTCACAAAATAAGCTGAAAGAATAAAGTGACTCTATTGTTTTATCATTTTACTTATATGTTCTGCTGGAAGGTAAAGAGCTTAACTCAGGAAAATAAACCTTTGGCAGAGTATTATTTCATAGAGGCAATGATAGCCTATAGAAACCAGGTAGGACAGTCAGCAGATGATGGTTCCTGCTCTTTCAAACACTGGGTAACCTCCAGCAGATAACTGTCATGTTGTCTACTTCATCACAGTTCAAAATTTTGTAAAATGGAGGTAATGCTTAATATGATATTTATATATTAATATTTAATTAATTTGTTCTTCTTTAGAAGAGAAGTGCTATGTAATAACCCCATATTTTTTACTGTGTCTGTTCATCAGATAATATGACTGATTCTATCACACAAAGAACAAAAAGTCTTGATTATCAAAGTTGGGTTATCTCAGTCTTTCTAGGTTGCCGAGCTTTTGGAACCAGTATCTATGGGACCTAATCAATAAGGGGCCCTTTTCATAGTCTCTGTCTGAACAGGTTCCAGCAATAGATTTGCTCATGGGAAAGCATTTTTAAGCCTCCTCCTCAAGTTCTACAATGATTTGATAAGCAGAAGTGAGTCAGAAATGTGTGTGCTTCCCACAACAGAGAGGTCTCTAAAGAAAGAGTCAAACATAAGAGAAATAGAGATATTCCTTCAGTCTCCTTTAACAGACACTGATCCTCAATTAGCCACTGAAAGAAGAGGACATATCCATCATGGGCCCTGAGGAGCAGATGTGAGAGTGTGAAAGTCTATTAAGCATCCAATTTCATGGTATCCATGCTACAGAAATGAGTTCTTTCTCTTTCCACTGAATAAATCTACTCAGAAATACTGCTGATTCACTGGGACTATGAAATATAGACCCCTCTTAAGAGGCACTTCCACTAGTAACCCATTTCCACTTATATATAAAATTCTTTTGTTAATCAGTTCATAACTTTGTAAGAAGTTCCCTTAAAATCTTCAGGTTCATTTGTAACTCTGAGGGTAACTCTATGAAGATCTTGAAAAATCAGAATTTCTTATTATGAAGCACATTTCTAGATTCAAATTTAATGCCACTCTTTCAGAAAACTTCATCCTTTTGCCCCCCAGCTCCCCTTTATTGGGGTAAGAGAACATTACAAATGTCTATTAGTAAACAAGTTTAAATATTCCTTAAAGAGTCTATAGTAAAAGTCAAACAAGAAAGAAACAAAGAAATATAAATGCACTCAGTATTTTAGATCAATTTCCTGATTTTAGTCTAAACACATTTTGACTAAGTATCCTTTATTTATTTTCATGCATATATACTTATAAATATATATTTACACACACACACACACACACACACACACACATATACAAATGTATATATTTAATAACATGGAATGGCAACACATCAAACTCTCAGATCCCACGCAAACACATAATCCTTCCTGTGAAGGAAACATATTAATATTACCAAAACAAATCATGGAGAGTAACATGCAACCATTGAGGGGAGGAAATGGGATCAGGGCAGGGGAACAGGAAGAACACAAAGAATGAAAAGAACAAAAAAGTGTCATTGACCTGATTTGTCAGAGTTGTTGCCTGTGATTGGAGTGATGGAGCAGCTGGGATTAGCCTTTGCGCTGTCCTTGGAAGAAACCATTTTGGGTTTATTTTTCGTTGCCTCTAGTGCTTTGACCTTCTTGGCATGTTTACTTCCTTTGTAGTGGGCCTCGGCCTGGCTCTACAAAGGAGAACAAATCAGGCTCATTTTTTGCTACTTACAAACACCACAATGGATGATCATGCAGGAAAAAAAATACATTCAATCCTAGGCACCACAGACATTTACAACTCAGCGCTTGACAGTGTTTTTCGGCATTTAATGAAATGGTAGACTAGTACCTAGGAGGTTTTAACATGCTGAAACCTTCTACACAACACAGAGGACCTGCATCTTCAAAAATCAGACATTATGTGAGTGCACAAGTGGGTTAAGGCTAAATTGTGATGCAAGTGAGCTTTGTCATCAGTGCCCTCCCACCAGGGCTCACGGGGTTATTTTTGTAACATTTGGCTGACTGCAGCGGCGAGGGTGTCCTACCCAAACATGTGGGTATGCCCTTCCACAACCATTTCCACTTAGCTAAAATCCTCTTTGCCCTGTGTCTACCTTCTTCCGGGCTCTACTCTGAGACCACCTGGTATTACAAAACAATGTGTTAATAGATGCTATAGAGTGGAAATGATACTACATTTTGAAGATATCTACATGCACTTCATGCATCATTTTGATGATTCCAGTTGCAAGAACAGGTTATATAAGCTACAAAGTAGGTAAGGATAATCCTTGTTTCTGATCTCAGATGTGACTCTGAAGTCAAAGGAGTTAGTGGTAAAATCATTTATACATAAAGCATATGAAGAATGGCAACTTCAATACTAGATCAAAAGGGAAAAAAAGAATAAGACAAAACACAAAAACAAATTAAAACAAGCTTAGAAAACATTTAGTCAATTTACTGACATTTGGAAAATTCCCTTCTGCCTAAACAACAAGGCTTTTATCTTTTTGGGATCTATTACTAATGTAGACACTAACCAAAGAGTATAAGTATATTCACTTGAATTTATCTTGAATAAATTGTGAAAAAATATAAATACGCATTTGGTAAAAAGAAAAAAACAACAAAAACCAACCTAATATTATATATTAGTTTAGATATAAAAGTAAAATGGATGATAAACTTCATGTAAAACAAGATGAGTTTTTGTTAGATTTTAAAAGAAATCATAACTTTGTTTATATAAGTTTTCTTTATACATTTATATGAAAGTGATTATATGAATTTTTCCATCCATTTTTCTCAGCAATCAGAAGATAGGTGATAGGTAGGTGTGTGTGTGTGTGTGTTTGTGTGTGTGTGTGTGTGTGTGTGTGTGTGTGTGTAGGTAGGTAGGTAGAATTGACTGTAGAACGGGCCCTCTGTCCTTAGGGGCTAATGAGGTTTCTCACACACCCAAGGCAACAAGTTTGACTCAGGACTATACATAGCCAAAGGTGAGCTGAGATTGCAAAACATGCTTGTTATGGGAGGTACAGGACAACATAAAAGGGACCAGAGAGGGATAATATTGATGAAGACTTCCTAAAATTTCTAACCTTTGATTTGAGACTTAAAGAAAGGGATTCATAGAAATTGGTAGAGAAAAGTACATTTCTGGTGGGAGGAAGACCTAAGGAAAGGACTGAGGCTAGCGTGACAGAACAGTATGGGGTGTGGCTGGGTAGAAGCTTATATAAACCTCTTGGTAGAGCATCTTCAACAGGAGGTCAAAGAAACCAGATGTGCAGCTATATTTCCGTGTAGGCCACCACGGAAATGAGACTCTTCAGCAGAGGCCTGATGATATGTACAAATTCCAAATGGGGAGGACTTCTATAACAGCTATTTATTACATGTTTGTTGACTGACTATGAGAGAAAAGAGATAACACAGGAAGACAGCAGAGAGACTATATGATTATTTTGGTAAAATCCCAAGTACAGAGTATTAATATAGTAAAAAATACTAATTATAATAACATCATTGATTTCTTTTTTAAACATTTTATTTTATTATACAGATGTGGGTACACAAGTAAGAATTAACTACGTAAGTAGGCCACATGCAGGTGAAATCTGGGCCTCCAACTGACCCTCACTTCCTGTGGTTTGGGGCCAGGGACCCTTTGTGTTATTACGTACCCTCCTCACTCGCTCCCTCCCTTCCCTGGCAGTGTGCAGTGACTACTGCTCCCTCCCTTGTGCTATTGTGATTAATGTTCAGGTTCCACTTATGAGTGAGGACAGAGAACTGAATCATTGATTTCTTGAAGACTTGGTTATTATCCGTCCTTCTTCTGTCCTTTGCTTAAATGGAACCATTTCCCTGCTAACTACTAGAGACGAAGCACTCTTCCACCATGCCATAGTCGCACTAAGCCATCTAAGGCTGATTTTTTTTTATGTTGTTGGAGTGTTTCTTCTGGCTTCCCTACTGTTCTACTCCAGCTCACAAGGCACGTGTTGCTTTGGTATCTTTGGACATCTGGACATTTCAGTAGAACTGGTGATGATGAGCAATGCTTCCACATCTCAGTAAGGGATAAAACCACTTTAACCTGAGCTCATAAGTGACGTTGATGAAGTTGTTCATGCCAAGCATTATGGCTGGTGACACCACAAGTATCAAGGGGCATGCAGTGAGTTAAAAAAAATCTTTTTTCTTTGAGTTGGAGTCTTGCTCTGTTGCCCAGACTGGAGTGCAGTGGCACGCTCCCGGCCACCGCAGCCTCAACCTGCTGGGCTCCGGTGATCCTTCCGTCTCAGCCTTCAAAGTAGATGGAACTACAGGCGCGCGCTACCACGCCCGGCTGTTTTTTTGACTTATTGTAGAGATGAGGTCTCGCCAAGTTGCCCAGGCGGGTCTTGAACCCGCGGGCTCAGGCAATCCACTCACCTCGGCCTCCCAAAGCACTGGGATTACAGGGTGAGCCACCAAGCCCGGCCAGAGTTAAACATTATACCCGTGTATTTGCTGTCCATCCGAGTGGGAGCTTGATGGCAGGTTCATGTCACAGTCTGTTTTTCAATGTTCCTTGATTTTGCTGTGTTATTTCTTGTGGGATGAGTGACAGGAGAACAATATATTGCCTTAGTAGTAGTGTAATCTAAGGGCAGGCTTTCCCTCTGTATTACTAAAGATATATCAGTGATTTCCCTAAGTACATAACCCAGATCACCCAAGGTCTATAGCCTTGTACTGTCTGTTCATAGTCCCTAACTTCCTGAATATCTTTACATAATTATCTTTTTAGATCTTCATTGACTTGTCATTTCTCTTATTTCATGTGCTCAAGGACTTCTCATGCTGTTCTCTGTCAAGTTGGAAAAAAAAAATCCAAGGGAGGGAAAAAGTGTAATGCTGTTTTAAATCCTTTATTTATTACCAATCAAGAATGTTTAAATCTAACTAATATAGTTAGGTAGTTATAAATTAAGAAAATATAGAAATAAAAATTAAAAATTGATAATGTAAAGTGATAGTAATAATGATGAATATTATTGAGCACTGTTCCAGGTACTATTCTAAGAGCATTACATGGGATAGCTCATTGAACCCTCATACTATCCTGTGAGACGGTATTATTAGCTAGAGATTTACAAATGGGAAACTAGGCATAGAAATATTAAATCACTTCTCAAAAACCACGCAGGTAGGCGTGGAAGCCATGGAAGATATGAAATGCTTGCATGCATATTCCCATTTAATTATATATCCACACATTATACATACATATACCCACGCTAAGATAACATTTATAATTTTATTAGAAATGGAAAATGATACACAAAGAAAGCACACTGCTTTTAATGATTCAGAGAAGGATTATAACTTAATGCTACAAAGATCTTTTTTTTTTTGAGTTGGAGTTTCACTCTGTCGCCTAGACTGGAGTGCAGTGGCATGCTCCTGGCCACTGCAGCCTCAATCTGCTGGGCTCCAGCGATCCTTCTGCCTCAGCCTTCCAAGTAGCCGGAACTATAGGCACGTGTTACCATGCCTGGTTAATTTTTGATTTATTGTAGAGATGAGGTCTCATCAAGTTGCCCGTGTAGGTCTTGAACCCGCAGGCTCAGGCAATCCACTCGCCTTGGCCTCCCAAAGTGCTGGGATTACAGGCTGAGCCACCGAGCCCGGCCCAGAGATTTCTCTGAGTAAAAAATATCGACTTAATTTATGAGAAATACACTAGCATAATATCTTAGGCCTGATCCTACTGGTGAGTAGCTAAGTAAGTGCCACTGTTTAGGTAAGTAATCATTTCTACAAGATACCAGGAGACCTCCTAAAAACTCATCTTTTCAAGTACACTAAATATCAGTGTGTTACTTTAGTACCCATTGGCTAAAGAAACATATGGTTCTCTAAATAAAACCTCTGAGAACAAGATAAGCAGAGTGCTGTTTTCTCATTACTATTTCCTGGCACTACTGCAGAAAGTCAACAGCAGCAATTAACACTTGGGATAAGGATCCAGCTAAGCAACACCTCACTGGATGCCAAGATGAGAAGAACTCTCCATAGCCACGATCCACTTTCCCTTTGAGTTCTGGGCAGGGAAAGAAGTGCAACAGGGCTTTTAGCTTCTCCTGACAGTTGTTTGGGGAAAATGGAGTGGAAGATTGTGGAATAAAGACAGAGTGGTAAGTGCCAGTCCCATCTGGCATCTTTCCAGCTTGCCTCTTGGTAGTAGCACTTTGCTCTCCCCAGAACTGTATCTGAGGCAGTGTCAACAGCTTCTAAAGTCTGGGCAAATCTTCAAGTGAAACTGAGATACTGTTAAATAGCAACAAGATTAACATGACTTCATTATCTAGGAATCTCCTTAATTGAAGAGTGAAAGAAACAAGAACAAGAGCCAGAAAACCCATGAAATAGGCAACACACGTCAAGCCCAATCAACAATGGCTCTTGTGTCAAAGGGACTTGGTTGGCTAAGCTGACTGACTTTACACCCAATGACTAGTCAGCAAACATGTTTTTCTGCTTCCCCTCCTACAGTGCTGTTGTGCTCCCAACTGGCAATGACCAAAGAAACCTCTTGACAAGAATTGCCAGAATTAGAAAGAGTTGCCCTCACCACCATAATGACGACCACATAAGAATTCATCAGCATCTTGATTCTTTTCCCAATGCC